CTAAAACCCCATACTCAGTTTACTACTTGTCCTGGCTGTCAAACTTCTCAATGCATCTGAAAATTCAGTTTTCTGGGTCACATCTTAAAGGCTCTGATTTGGTAGATCTGTATAAAGTATAATTTAAAAAAAAGCAAATGAACAAAACACTCTGGGACCTCCCTGGTGGCACAGGGGGTTAAGTCTCAGCACTTGAAGCTATCAGCAGCCACTGCAGCACAAGTTCCATCCCCAGTCAGTGAGGTGACCCACAAGGCACAAGCAGCCCTCCCCTGTCCCACCACTGCTCCCCTCAGCAGTGTATCTCAGTGCATCTCCCTGTTTTGCTCCCCACTCTGTCTCTGGTAAATCCTCTCAAAACCACCCCCAGCCCCCCAATCCCCCTGTACCTCCGGGCCTACACCTCAGTTCTTGTATGCATAATAAAGACAAATCTTTACAACAAAAAAACAACAACAAAAAGATACATATCTTTTCAGGTTTGCTTGGGGTATTTGTTGTATAGGAAACATGCATGAAAGCAATGGAACACTAGTAAGCAATCAAAAAATATCAACTCTTGCCATTTTGGCAGCATGGAGGGAGCTAGAAGGGTTATGCTGAGTGAAATAAGTCAGAAGGAAAAAGATAAACATCAGATGGTTTCATTTATATGCAGTATGTTGAGAAACCGAACACTAGAAGCTGAACACTGATCTGAGGCACACAGCAGGGCAGAGGGAGGAAGAGGGTGAAAACAGGGGAGGGAAGAGCACAGGAACATGGTGCTGGCTCACAGGTGTTATGGTGGTGGGAGAACTCCCTAGACTACACCTAGGGGGAAGAGTCAAATACTGTGCAAAAATTAACAATGATGGAAGAAAATAAATTTATTTTAAAAAAAGGAAATATGTATGTATGTGAAATGCTGGAAACAAGAAAAATAAACGTCTAAGTGCACTGTAATTTAATGTCTAAGCACAATTTCTGTGCAGGGAACAAACACTTGGGTATTCTAAGCTCTAACAGCTTAGGACATAGGAAGGAAATGAAAATACCACATCTCTTGCTTTGTGACTTTTCACATAGTGAGTAGATCATTTTTAGCTTTTCTGCATTTCTGTTTAATTAACATTTTTTTAAAAGCATAAGATATTCCTTCCAAAACAAGTTAACAGGAAATTGTGGAAAATCAATAAGGAAAAAAAAAAAATCGAGAAGATAAATGGGTTCATACATACAGCATTTTTAGCTTAAACAACTTTTTTTTTTTACCTGTTTCTACTTGGTTTTGCTTTCCAGCATCCAAAACCCTTGAATTCATCTAAGGGATAAATCTATTGCCTGTGACTTCTAGGACTTTGAGACAATGTTCTATAACTTATTTCTAGGCCTCCCTTCCCTCCCAGAGGATGCAGGCAAGAAGAAATAGATGACTCTACAGTAAATTTTCTGTAGAGTAAAAGTCAGCAATTGTTTAAGATTTGGAAGAAATTATGAATGAGAATGAAGGCACAGATTCAATATACTTCAATCCAAAAAAGGGGGGACTTTTAAATATATACTCCATAAAAGCAGTAGTAGTGACATCATTTGCATTTCCTGAAAGTTAAACCTGGAAATAATTTTTGCTGAAAATAATGTGCATGTAGACTTTACATTAATTGATATAATAGTGACACTATAATCATTGTTAAGAAATCTAATGAAAAATCATTTTACTTGCTTTTGGTATCTGGCAGGTTGCCACATGCATCTTAGTGAAAACAATCGTAACTGGCTAATCAGATAATGCTGAATTTTAATTAATGTTTACCAGAGAAAAGAGTTCACTGAATTCTAAGTTGGAATTGAGGAGTGAAGAGAACCGGATTAATCCACTTGGTACATATACAGATAACTATGACTTTGACAGGTCCAGTATTTTTTGATACATTGCCTTTAGTGGAGGGAAATAAGCTACTTACAGATGCACAAGACTATGAGAAAGAAGAGGTATGTGACCAGTTCCCGCAACACACTTTGAAGGTATTTCTCCCGATTAGTGCTGCTTTCCTGCATGAGTCTTGTTCCCCAGAGACCTTGGAAATAAAAGTGGAAAAGGGAGTCACTCTTTTAGCAATCTCACGAATGGTAAAAAGACAACACATAATAATACAACCTCTGAGGGAGACTGTCCCATTTTTTTTTTTTAAAGCACACTCTGAATGCAATTAAGAAATTGTTTTAGCAGGAATTCCTTTTTTAAAGAATACAGTGGGCTCTACTCCCCCCCGCAAATGTGCAAAACACAGGGTGATTATGGACCATTGTCTAAATCCCCAATCTCAATAGAAAAGTCTTGGTAAAAATTGAGAGATGCCAGGAAATGAGACCAGCCCAAAGGAGATTAAATGACTGCGTAGACACATCAGCTCCTCCTACAGGACACAACTGTCATTACTCTACTCCTGAACCCAATGAAGTACATTATGTGACTCCATCATAAGGACACTTTGACAGCCACCCCTGACAAAAAGAAGTACTGGTCGGAGCATTGTTTCAATATGGAAACATCTACCAACCTTCTCTGCCCTATACATTCTTGTCTGTTGAGAAATGGAATGTGACTGCTAGGCGAACATGCGTAGTTTACCAAGTCTTAAAAATGTCAATTAGTGTATAACCTTTAAAGCAATAACTCATCTAACTTCTCTCTGAGAAAGACCACAATCAGCAACTATGTTCTTGTTCTGTATTTTAGCAGATGGAAAAAGTGCTGGGCCGGCCAGTGAAGATGACATAACCCTCTGTGAGCTTTCAGAAGAGCTGCTGCCCACTTGGGTTGCCAGGAGAGAGTCATGGTGGCCGCCCAAACCCCCACTCAGAACAATGTGGTCACACTGTTACCTGGAAGAACCTTAATACATGCCAGGAGACCAATTTCTCCACCCTTCTGGGTACATCAGGCCTTGTGTTAGCGGCAGTCAGCCTGCCTGTGGGATGCCTGATTTTTATGCCAGAGTTAACTCCTTTCATCACTGGAACCCACACAACCACTGAGCCGTAATCACACGCAGAAAAAGGAAAAATGGTATATGTAGTTTTAAAGCCTGTTGATAACACATCAGTTGTATTCCTGAATTGGGTATTTTATTTCCTTTTCTTTTTCTTCCAAATTTCTTGAATTCAGCATCTGAATTCAAAGACACTGTGTTACGCATCATGGGCTTCACCACACTGAAAGTGGAGCATAACTTATGACTAGGTTTACTTCTGCCAAGATCTGGTAGTTGTCAGGGAATTACTCACGCAGAAGAAATGCAGCAGGCAGAATGTTTGTTCGCTGAAACTCTATCATATTAAAGAATTATTACAAATTTAGATGACATGGAAAATTACAACTCAGAATAACACAGAGGCAGCCAAATATTAGGCTCAGTAGCTTTGGACACAACCACACCACTTCTTTGCACATATTACTTTTGGAGGCCAGGCCTAAAATATACACATAAGTAGAGATTGCTAGTCTTTACCATCTGGAAAGATTGCTGCCTTGCCTCATGTGGTCAATCATTTCTCTCTTTTCCATGGTTTATAAACAATTATGCTCTCAGGAATAGTCACAGTTCTCAATATTTACAAAGGACAGTGCTTGACCTATATGTAGAAAAAACAAACTCCTATCAGATTTTATCCAGGCCAAACTTGCCTTAGACTATGATCATTTAATTCTAGCCCCTGAATGAAATAGTTCAAATGTAAAGAAACAAGTTCTTATTTATATTTTTTGCATAATATGCTTCTATTCATTGTTTTCTAAATTACTCTACCTCCTTAAATATTTATTGCTTTAAAATTTTCATCCCATTTTCCCACTGGCTATATAGATACGGTTTTAGGATACAGGGACTTCTTTACAATCTGATGATAAGAGATAACTTTCTCCACAAATAGAACATTCTCTCTATGTTCAGCAGAGCTGACAGCACCAGATTAGTTCAGGACACAGCTCACAAGAATGTCCCATAATGGCAGCATTCTTTAAAATCAACTTTTGTTTCTGCCACAATTATCCCCGTCATGCAAGGAACACCTTTCCAGAAAGCTAGGCACGTTCAGTACTAAGGTCACTCTGACTGTTTGGGAGAATGTGGTCTGAGGGGGACAGCCAGTAATTATCCAGCTTCTTCAGTGTTTTAAGAGGGTGCCTGGTCAATGCCACAGACACAATTGAATGCATCGCCAGAGTATTTGCCTGCACCATGTTACTTATTAATATGATACAGGGGATTCTGGGATACCCGATTACACCACAAAACAGAAGCCAAAATAACTGACTTTGAAGAAACTGCCATTTTCCCAACTATTTTATGCCAAAATCTTTTTATAAAAGATTTATAATAAAACAAGTTATTCTACCACCATGTTTTACTTTGGAAAATATTTTTAAAAATCACAGAGAATGGTATGTACCTATTACCCAGTTTCTTCAATTACCAACTGTCAGCCTCACTTCACCTAAACCTACTCCCCTCCCTCTCCATTATTTTGAAATAAACCCAGCTATTGAATATTACATTATTTCACCTGTAAAAATTTTAGTTCCATGGTTAAAAGCTCAGGTGGATCTTGGGCATCACCATAAACCTGTCCATAAGAGACAGTCCATTCCTATGACTTACTAATGGTGTGACATGGTGCCATGCCAGGTTTGGAGCCAAAGATCTAGTCCACTCGGCTCTGCCACCTACAGGCTCTGTTAGGTCTTACATGATGGCATCTGCATCTATTCCTTCATCTGCAAATGGGATACAAGTACCTCTTTGAGGGGTTGCTCTGGGAATTAGAAATGTCACATTAATGCACTTCAGAGGGGCTAGAAGCATCCTATCTACAACTTCAGAAACAAGTTCAAGTCTGTAAAATGTTCTACTTCTGGATTTTGGTTTTTATATACCTAGTTGGTCCAGGTTTCAGAATAGAGAAAAGACCAAATCCACGTGAATTTTTGTTTGGCTGTGGACAGCCAGACTCATTTCTCTGTGCATTTCTATCATAAAAGAACCTGGTTTTGTGATCAGACATAGGTGGGCCTTGTTTAGGAAGATGACTACAATCTTTCCTAACATTTATTTGAACTGGAGGGACACCTTTAGGAAGGAAAGTGACCTTTTAGAACTACTGGTCCATCTTCCATAGAATATGGTTACCGCTTTATATGGTGTTGACTCTTGAATCTCAAATTCAGTCGGCCCTCTCCTGAGGTGTACACAGGCAAATGGCACAGCTAACAGCCAGCCCACCTGCACATTCCACTCACAGCTCGCACCCGTGTGAGACTTGCTTTTTTCTTTCTTTCTCTAAAGCCCATCCCCCTCTTTGGGTTGGTGGTACCAAGCCTTTGAGGCTTCATCCCAGAACAGGGCATCCACATGTCTCTCACCTTATCTCCCTGCCAACCCAGCTCACAGGCCTTGCTGGCAGCCCTCGCCACTGCTTCCTCTCTGGTTAGCCTTCTGGCTCAGTCTCCCACAATCAGTTGGCCCATTTCACCTATTCTCTAAATTCCTGCTGGGATCTTCCTCAAGGTGACTTGTGCTCCTATCAGCCCCCAACCAGAGGACCCCACAGTCTCTGTCGACAGCACAAAGTATCCATGGGTGACAGGTTCCCTTACTCTTCTGTTGTTTTCCTTCTTTTTATTCCCTCCTCCTGCATCAAAATGCTACTCAGGTTTCACTGCCTCTGACCTCCCCAGGTGGGGCTCTCATCTTCCTTTATTCTATTCTTCCCATACCATATGCTGGGCCTAGCATTGAAATTATTTACTAACACATTCATTTAACCCTACTACGTGACTTCCTTGAGAGCCAGAACCTTGTGTTATTCACCTCTGTATCCCTACCACACAGGAGACTCAGCAAATGTTTGTTGACTGCACAATAACTGTTATTAGCACGTCTTTACCACAAACCCCAGAATACCAAACAAAATGCCTACAACAGTGAAAATACAAAACTTCACTGATTCAAGTGACAGGGTAAATAAAAACAGGTTAGGAAGATGTAATTGACTGAGGCTTGGATTAAAAGTAAAGGGAAAGTTACAATAAAGGTGGAAACAACCCAAGTGTTCATGAGCAGATGAGTAGATGAATAATACATACAATGGCATGTCATTTAGTTATTGAAGGAAATGAAGTTCAGATAACTTGAAAACAATATGCTAAGTGAAGCCGGTTTCTGTAATGTAGTGGTTATCACATTCGCCCAACAATACACTAAGTGAAATAAGCCAGACACAAAAGGACAAATAGATATGATTCCACTAATAAAAAGTCCCCAGAAATTCAGAAAGAAATGCAGTTGACCAGGAGAGGGGGGAGAAGGAATGGGAGTTATTGTTTAAAGGAAGGAGTTTCTGTTTGGTATGATGAAAATGTTCTAGAAACAGACAGTGATACAGAGTGAAGTAAGGGAAGGAGTCTATTTTTTATAGCAGCTTAGTTCAACCTGACCAATATATTCAGTACTTTATGATTTTTTTCAGGGAAAAATAAAAGCACCTGTCTAAAATAACAAACAAAAAATGACTTCAAGCTGGCATTCCCATAAACACAATTAAATATTAAAATGTAGACAATATGATGACTCATATATAAGGTAAAGTTTGTTATTAAAAAAAATAAACAGGGGCCCTCCCTGATGGCGCAGCGGGTTAAAGCACAGCATTAAGAAGCTAAAGCCACTTCCGCATGAGTTCAATTCCCGCCTGCCCCGGAGGTGACCACATGGTGTGGCAGACCTCTCCTGACCCGCCCGCTGCTCCCCTCAGCAGTGTACTTCGTCGATCTGCCTGTTCTGCTCCCCATTCTGTCTCTGGTGAAGCCTCTTGCCGCCCCTGAGCCTCTGGCCTGTACCCCAGTTCTGTATGCAAAAATAAATAAATCTTTAAAAAATAATAATAATAAATAAATAAATAAACAGGATTGTTGCTATACCCTCTAAATTTGGGGCAGTGTTTAAGTCTTTTTGCCTCTTTTGCTTCCTTTGGTCAAGGCCTTCATTACCTCCTCAGTGCCTGCCTCCTCACTGGTCCTCCTGCCTTCTCACCTTTCCTGCAGACTGCCTGCAGCATCTCCAGTTG